CCTCCAATTCCTCAAATAACGATTGAATTGATTTCTGAGCCACAAGTTAGGAGATCAAAAAAAGAAAGAAGATTTGCATTGTCCAGTGATTATATTACATATTTATTGAAAAGCGATTTTAATATTGAACATATTGTTGATCCTGTAACTTATAACTAAGCATTGACAAGTCCTGAGGCAGATAAATGGATAGCTACCATGGAAGATGAAATGAATTCTATGGAAAAGAATAAAGTTTGGGATCTTGTTGAACTTCCTCCAAATGCTAAAGCTGCAGATAACAAGTGGATTTTCAAAAATAAATTAGATTCAAAAGGAAATGTTGAACGAAAGAAAGCAAGATTGGTTACAAATGGTTTCACTCAATGAGAGGGCATTGATTATGTTGAAACTTTCTCTCCTGTTTCGTCGAAAGATTTTTTTCGAATTATCATGGCTCTTATGGCATACTACGATTTGGAACTTTATCAAATGGATGTTAAGACAACATTTTTGAATGGAGATATTTCTGAAATGGTTTATATGAAACAACCTGAAAGCTTTGTTGTGAAAGGAAAATAAAACTTGATATGGAAGTTAAACAAATCCTTATATTGTCTCAAGCAAGTATCCCGATAGTGGTATTTGAAGTTTGATGAGGTTGTAACCTTTCTTGGTTTTGTTGAAAATACTATTGATCAATGGATTTATCTCAAAATCAGTTGGAGAAATTTTATTTTTCTTGTATTGTATGTTGAAGAAACTCTACTTGCTAGCAGGAACTTAGGGTTGCTTTAAGAGACAAAGAAGATGTTGTCTGCTAATTTTGAGATAAAAGATCTTGGAAAAACTTCCTTTGTACTTGGTATTGAAATACATTGTGATAGAAATCGTGGCTTATTGAGACTTCTCAGAAAGTTTATATACTACGTGTCCTAAAAAGGTTTAATATGCAGAACTGTGCACTTGGTGATGTACCCATCATAAAAGGAGATAAGTTTAACAAAACTCAATGTCCAAGGAATGAGCTAGAAAGGAAGTCTATGATGATGATTCCATATGCTAGTGCTGTGGAGAGCTTAAGGTATGCTCAAGTTTGCACTAAGCCGGATATAGCCTATGCAGTCAGTGTCTTCAGTAGATTTCAGTCTAATCCAGGACAAGAGCATTGGAAAGAAGCTAAGAAAGTTATGAGATATTTGAAGAAAATTGAAAGCTATATGCTTACATTCCAGCGTTCAAATCGTCCTGAGGTGGTAGGATATTCAGATTTTGATGTTGCTGGATGTTAAGATGATTTGAAATCAACCTTAGGTTATATTTTTACATTAGCTGGTGGTGCTATCTCGTGGAAAAGTGTTAAATAGATTCTAGTGGCATATTCTACTATGCAAGCTGAATTTGTGGCATGTTACGGGGTTACAGTCCAAGCCGTTTGGTTAAGAAATTTCATCTCTGGCTTGAAAGTTGTTTATTTCATCTCAAGACCGATCACCATCTACTGTGATAACAGTGTAGCGGTATTCTTTTCAAAGAATAATAAAAGTTCTGGTGGATCAAAGCATATTAACATCAAATATTTGGTGGTTAGAGACAGAATCAAGGAAAGGCAGACGAAAATAGAGCATATCAATACAGAGGCAATGATTGCAGACCCTTTGACTAAGGGACTCGCTCCAAAAGTCTTTAAGACACATGTTAGTAATATGAGTATTGTGGAAACATTTGATGTTTTTGGTTAGTGGGAGTTATTTATGTAAAGAATTACGTTTTGGGTTTGACCCCTTTGCCGGTCAGCCCCTTCTGATAATAAAATATTTTTTTCCTATCCATGAACTATTTTGAGCATGCATTTAACTTATGTATTTTTTATTATGATATTATTGTAATCTCGAGACATGATGATAAATATATAAGATAAGTCTCTTTTAGAGACAAGTGGCTTCATTTTGATCCGAAGCATTATGAAGACCGATATGAACTAGCACAGTTTTTTTTATCACATTTGGTGCTAAGTTCATACCATATACTACCACATTGGTTGGAGAATGGGGATCCATGTCGATAAGGATGTTAGCACTTGTAGCTGTGAAATGGTCTTACATTGCTTAATTGGAGTAATGACTTCCATGTTCGGTGTTAATATTCTTGTTGGACCAGATCATGTTACGTAAGGTGTCATCATTGGAGCTATACTTTTGTGGCCACCTATGTAGTCTAACCCGGGTGTTAAAAATTTTGTTTTAACAATCAAATGTTTGCCCAAGTGGGAGAATGTTGGAATAATTCCAAATATGAGCTTCACACTCGATTGTAAAATTTTACGGGTTAGATGTATGACTCACAATAACGTTATGATTAGGCCAATTATGTTAAGTGATCAATTTGGACCGTTTTACACCTTACATGCTTTATTTGATATAATATGGTAATTTCGAGTATGTGGACCAGAATTATGCGTAAACCCTAGTTAGGTTTCAGTCGATGATGGGACGACTAAATAAATTCCTATATAAAGGCTAGGTCCCCTCTCCTTTTCATATGTTTTCATTAGCTTGCCCCATTGATAGTTAGTATTTTGTGAGGAGTAAGGAAAAAAAGATCTAGCTACTATTACAATTATTATTCATATCAACAATGGCCTCCGCATGTATGAATTCGTTTTATTAATTATTGTATTGTGATTCTCGATTCTTAGCATGATTACAATTTATTTTTAACAATAGGAACATATAAACATAGAGTATCTCCAAGAAACATTTTATTTTTAAAGAAAATATTCCACAATTTAGTGAAAATCTACAAATTCAGAGAGTAAAAATTTTTAATTACTTCAACAGGCTCTTTATATTTTACACGTGATTTTACTACTCCAAAAGAATATTTATTATTTTTTTCGTATCTTTTATTTTTACTAACTCCCTTCCAAATTATTATATTATTTTCCTCTATTGAAAATTAGAATATTTTGAATACATTTAATTATAAAGAGTGGGTTTGGCCACTTTCTAAATTAAAATATTAATTTAAAGAGTTTTTTGAAGTATAATTTTAAGGATTGACTCTTTAAAATAAAATAAAAAATGCTCTTATAACAACAAATATAGTTGACGGTTAAGAAATGATCAAGTTCTAACCTTGAAGTTTGTTAGGCATAGATTTTTCAAAGTGCAAATGATTTATTCATTGATTTTTGGGAAAATACTTGAACAAAAATGTGAGAAATTTGTGGATTCAGTGTCATGTGTGATTCAAAATGATTTTGAAAAAAAAAAAATCTTTGTAAAACAAACTTTTTGGTACTAATCAATTATGTTAGAACATAATTAACCTTTAAATACCATTCTATAACGAAATTACAAAAATAATTTATTTTTCATGAAAAATAAGGAAAAAAATTAAGAAAATACTTACATTTTCACTATTTTCAAAAATCAGGTCATTAATATTTTTTTTTTTACAAAAACAAGTTATTAATTACAAATCCATTTCTCTCTCTAACTATTTATCTCTCTTTAACAATTTTTTCTCTTACTCTCTCTCTCAAAAGAGTTATTCCCCTTTTGTAAGAGAATAACTGCTAGGCAATAGAGCGCAGTACCTATATGATGGTTTTTTTAAATATATTTTTTGCCAGCACCCAATGGAATGTGTCAAGTGTTTCCATATAATTTTCCTAATAGTTTTTCCGTGTACACATAGCACTGCTCCTCTCAGAAGAACTTAGACACCATCATTTCTCTCTCTAAACTACTTCTACCTCGATTACCATTTTTCTTTATGTTGTATCTCACCAAAAAACCCAAACATCATTTCTCCTCTATCTAAAACCATTTCTCTCTCCAAAATTATTTATTTCTCTAACAATTTCTTCCACTACCCCCCTCTCAGCACCTGAGAACAAGAAGCGCCGTTTCTTAATGTGGCAATAAAAAACCTAGTGCTCTTGATGGCAACATAGATTTGACCTCAAAATCACGACGCGTGTAGTATCATGATTGTGACCTCTTGCTCCTTCAGATGGTGGGGGTGGATTTGAGGTAAAGCTTGTTTGTGGATTTAAGGTGAATGTGGTGATGATGATTGTGGATTCAAGGTGGTGACAATGTGTGCATTGTGACAACGATGAGTACAAAAATGGATGATGACTAGAGTATACATATATGCCTTTTATTGTATTTTGGGTGGTGGAGGTGGATGAGGAGGTGGTGATTATAGATTTTAGGTGAAGATGATGATGGTGGGTTATGGATTTGTTGTGGTTGTGACGACTTGAGTGATTCCAATGGTGGTGGAATGAGGTGGAGGTGATGTGATGTGACATGAAGAGTAATAGTGACATGCTAATTTTGTAATTTGTGACCTATGAAAACATATAATTTGTGATTGAATTTATAATTGTGATCAATAAATTATATCTTTTGACCGTAAACTCGTGTGTTTGTGACTAGTATATGATTGTGATAATAAATTATGTATTATTCTTACCTTGATTTGTTTAATTACGGTACCGTTTGGTACCTATTTTTGTAATAATGAGAATGAAAAAAATATAATTGTTACGAAACTCACACAAGAGATAGAAAATCAAGTATGATGACTTGATGTGATGAATAACGATCATGTTTTTTTATTTTTGTGGTCAAAGAATGAAAATCAAACGAGAACTAAATTATAGATCACATAAAATTTATCAGAAGTCAAAATGTGACCACTTAATTTAAAAAAAATAAATAAATAAAAATTTTGAATCCGAGAGAAAATCTGTAAGAGAAAGAAAGTGGGAAGTGTAAGAGAAAGAATTATTAAATGATATAATTATGAATATGATATTATTGATGAAAATATCTCAAATTTATTAAATTTTCTAAATTTTATTCACATATAATATCTTAAAAGTATACAATATATTAATATCAAAATATTTTTCTCAAAAATAATTTATAATTATTTTTTCAAAAATCTGGATTCGGGTTCGACTTTCGAGACACCTTCGTCGCAAAACAGCACAACAAATACAAAAAATGTACACGTCGCACTTCAACGCCGAGCCAAAAGTCCCGTGTCCTCTACCGAGTAAACGGACTCTCAAAATCCACTTCAAAATTTATATACCCTAAAATCTTGTCTCCCAAAACCTGAGATTTTGATTTTCTCCAATTCCAAATTTCCAATTCTTTCAAAATACAACAAGTGAATCTGTAATTTATACACACACTTTTATGCATAAAAATTCTGTAATTTTTTTGGGGGCAGATCATTAGAAATCGGAATCTGAGAGATGGACATTGAGCAAAAGCAAGCGGAGCACATAGATTACTTTGTGAAGCAGGCGTCGAATCTCAAGGGTTCCGCCCTCAGAAACGTCATTGTTGAGGCCACTTCCCACCCATCTCTTTTTGCTTTCGCTGAGATTCTCTCTGTCCCTAACATCCTTGAGGTATACATAATCAGTTGTATTTTATTTATATGCTTGTGGAAATAATGTTTAGATTATTATTTTATTTTATTTTTTTGGTAGAAAAAGATCCAATTTTAAATATTTCCCATTGATTTTAGTTGAATATATAGCTTTTCTGGGGTTATGTTCAAAGCATTTAGTAAGCAAGTTATTGTTCTCTATCATTTGTTTTTCTGATAGTTTTGTCTTCGATTTTATCTTGGGATGGCTGTGAAAAAAAAGAAGAAGATACTTTGCTGTATTTTTTGTTGATAAATGAAATGATCGATTCTATGACAGCTTGCTTCTTATTATATAGATATGACTTCCAATTTATAACCATGCCAAGCAAGAAATAGAAGAGATAGATGTCATGTTAGGATTTGTTGTTCAATGAGATTGAAGTGGATTTAACTCAAATGGCGTTAAGTTTAGTCTGTAAATGTGAATATATAAGAAACCAGATCGAAACATTTTATATATATCTTGGATTTTATCATCAGTTTGAATTTAAGTGTATTCTGCAATTAGAAGATTAGATCAGATCAGATCATTTATTTATTTACTTTTTTCTTAGATTTACGAAATAAGAATTTATTTCAGAAGGCTAATTTTAGTTTCAATTGATGGTGTTTCCAAGTGATATTCAAATCAAAGACGACTGTGCTTGCCAAACAGAGGAATTTTATATTTTCAATATTTAAGATTAAAAAGAAAATGTTGTTTATCGAATATTCTCATTGTAAATAAATTTTGGTTCTCCAATGGTTTGAGATTTTTTCAGTGTCATTTCAAATTTATTTCAGTTGATCAAAGGTGTCTATGGGAACTACTTTTGATTTTGGTCCATGGTTCTCACTGGGCTAAACATGTAATGCACTTTACTATTCTTGATACCCTTTTTTATCTGTTAACAAATACTTTCTTGCCTTGGAGTAATGTACTTGGTCTTGGATGAATCAATGCCAAAAAGTTTAGTTGTCAGTGGTGGTTGACATTATCCCACATTATACATAAGCATTCATGTGGAGCTTCTCGTGAAAGATCAGCTTTTTTCTTGCTAGAATGAGTCTTGTCTTCTATGTATTATATTCTGAAATTTTAGGGAGTATACATTGAAAGCAGAAGAAACAATTTTTTTTTTCAAAGGGGCATGAGCTTAGCACTTGAGGCATGCCTCGGCAAGGACTTCATTAGGAATCTTGAAGCTTACTTTCTAAGTGCCCTTAAGGCTTATACCAAAAGTTATGAGGTGCATGCGGAAGCTGAGGTTTGCTTTTATTTTGTTTCCACCGGATGTCATTTTTTGAAGTCATAAATTCACTTATTTCATTTGTTTGACATATAATTCTAGTTGTGGGCGCTGTGGTCTTGTTCTTCGATTATATTATTTTGTTGATTTATTATTTGTTAGTCTATCTATTTTACCTTTTGAGAATGCAAATAAAACTTTTAAATTTATTGAGAGGTTTGATTTTGGATTCTTTATATGCTCTATGACTTACGGTGAACATAGTTCTGTTTCTATAACTTTTATAATTATTTTATTGGTTATGTTGAGGCTTATGTCTCAAAGTGCCTCGTGGTGACATGTTGCTCAATTGATGCTTTGATACTCGGTATAATCTTTTTAAAACTGGAAAATCTATGAATCAAGATGGAAGACAGAAGGGCAAAAGGAAAAGCAAAAAAAACTTCTTAAGGTTGTCTGACCTAAGGTACTAATATGAATGTCCAAAGATGATTAAAGAGAGTGAAGAAAGAGAGCATGAAAATTTGATGGAGATGTGGAGAGGAATTTTTACATTCTATAATGGCTGAGTTCAATTATTTTCGATAAAATGCATTACTATTTAATGGACTGTTAAGTGAATATTTAGTTTCCTTTTTTGATACATCTTGGTAGTCTTTCTGCAGCTGAAGCTTGTAAAGGAAAACTTTTTATATTCTTTATAATTCCATCTTTAAATTATTGGATTCATGTGTAGCTCCAAGGAACTGAGAATGCGGTCTTTCTTGATTTGCTTCGTGTGTTTGCACATGGTACATGGAGTGAATATAAGAGTAAGCATTTTAATCTTTGTATTGTCAATTATTATGGTTTCGTATCCACAATATTGCTTCAAGTTAGCTCAATTCATTCATTTTGCCATAATATTACAATAGTTATCAGTCTGATATTGTCTAGTCTGAATGGAGAGTGACAACTGTATTCGGTTGAAAGTGCAAGAGTTATACTGGGCTTAGCATTCTTCATGTCAGGAATGCATGATGTTGACCCAACGTAAAAGGAACTATAGTAGCTGGAGTTGGTATTTGAATTTTCTGGGTATTATCTTTGTGCATTCACTAGCAGTGGAATTGTCTTATGATAGTATTACTTGTGTTTATCTCGTGTGCTTCTGAAGTGCGTATAATGAAGGTCTGACCATAATGATGCTTTATGTATGATGTATCCACTTCTTGATGCTTTTTGGTGGATACATGTACGTGGACCCTTATCTGAAATTTATTTGGAACTCCTAGTGAATTTGCCTATCTTGATATTTAGGATTGCACACGTATGGAGTTTCTTATCTTAATATGAATGAATAGAATTTATATATGTAGTGAATTGATAAATATCTTACTGCAAAACCCAAAATATAATTAAAGTACTTACATGACGACTTTACAGCTTGGGGGAAACCTGGAAACCTGACCTCATTGGCATCTCTAATTCATAATGTATCTGTAAATGAAAATTTGTAGTACAATAGCTCGGAGTTATATAACCACATGCACTTAATTTAGATGGTCCTCGCTGTCTAAAATTCTGAAAAGTTGATCCAGAACATCATGCAAAATGGTTTTTAAAGCAAATCACAAGCTTTGTCGATTTACAGACTACGAAGAGACCAAAACTGATACAGTTTTCACAACCTTATCCTTCCTTTATTAATATCATTAGTTACAATATTTGGTCCTTTTCATTTAGAATCACTGGCAAACTTTTTGTCTCATGTTATTCTGCTGTTGTAGAAAATTTGGGTTACAACGCTAACTATTCATGCCTATATCCAAGTCTCTTGGCTTATTCTTATCTTTGCCCCAGGCGTTTTCATGCATCCTGAGATCTATCTTTATCTGGCATCTTTTCGATTGATCATTTCCATGGAAATGTATTTTTACTATCTTGTATAATAATTTACTTGAGGTTATTTTATGATTCGTTTTATATATGTCTCTGTTTAACTATTAACGAGCAATATAATGAATTGAAATGCTAATGCATGCTTTTAAAATAACTAACATATTTTAATAGTTGTTCAAAGAATGTTTTCTTTAAGATTTAAGTTTTATGTGCCTTTTGGTGGAAACATCTAAATTCTTTTGTTATAAGCGTCTTATTTCAAACAAGCAGCTATACATTTTAGACTCCAATAAATCTTGCGTTCTGGAATATAAAGTTTAGATTCTGTGCTGATTCACCGTATGGGAAATGCAAATAATCTACGTGCAGCATAAATGAGGACTGTCTGATCTTTTTTGATGGATAAAAGATAGAAATGAAATTGTGGGGTTCACCATGCAACCTTGCCCCACCTTGGACATTAGATATACTTATTTGGAAATTTAAAGCTTCTCACTATGCTTATAAAAGCAACATGGACGGTTCCAAAGTTCCCTTTAATAATTTGTGCATAATTATGGACCATTAAATTCCTGTGTAAAATGCAAAAAGAACTGGGAAATACTGAGCTAAATACGAAGTAGCCATGAAAGAATTTCTCCCATTGGCTTATGTGGGGTTTGAGAAATTTTGTAATGATTCCCTGGGGTTATCTTCAAACAAGATAATGCGGGACTCATCAAGCTGATCATTTTGGAGTATGTAGTATATTTTAATGTATCTCTGATGATTTTATTTTAGCTAGTCCATGATTTCAGGGATACCCTTTCCCATGTTTAATGACTCCTCTTATTGTGCATGTTCCATTCTTTGGAGGTGGAGAAGCCCTCAGAATGAAAGCCTGCATAATTATGTTCTAAATGGTTCTTTTCAAGTGCCCTGTCTGTTTGATGGTCATGTATTTGTATAGTTTATCAAATGAGTGCTGTGCCCCTAGATGCTAATGCATTCCTATAAGATCTTCATATCCTTTTGTTTCATAGAGGTCAGATTCTCTCTGAGGCCGAGTTCTCTGTAATACATATTGCGATGCAGGTGTTGCCAGCCGTCTTCCACCATTGGTTCCTGATCAAGTCCTCAAGTTGAAGCAACTGACTGTGCTTACCCTGGCTGAGACAAATAAGGTATCATATCTTGACATGTTCTGAATTTCTTTCTTAAAATTATGATGGAAAATTTGTGTAAATATTTTGACTTGTCACTTAATTGATCAAGGTCCAATTTTTTATTTTTAGCCGGCACCCCCCTTCCCCTTTTAACTCAAAAAAATATGTTTTCTGTGCTTGTGATTGTTGGTAAATTTGGAAGCTGCAGGTTGGTTACATTTCTGCAAACAAAAGTTGAGTTTAACATGTGAATTGGAATTGGAAAATGTCGTCCTTGTAACTATGTTTTGCTTGGATGCTTCTTCTCCCCATTTTTCAGAGTTCATTATCATATCACTTGGCATCACAACCATTTTCCTATTTCAAAAAATTGTTTTCTACTTCTGAGCATTTCTTTGGCCTTTGCCCAGGTATTGGCTTACGATGTATTGATACAGGAATTAGATGTTACAAATGTTCGTGAGTTAGAAGATTTTCTCATCAATGACTGCATGTATGTGGTAAGTTTCCATTTTATCTTTTTGACCTATTGCATTTGAGTTCAATTCACTAACTTCTGCCATTTAATTTTCCATCTGGGCTTTTCTTTTGTTTTCTCGGTTCTTATGCTATAATATTGGCAGTGGTTCTATTGTTGAAGAAACTGCAATGATAAATGTGTTGATTTTGTTACTACTTTGCATTCAGGGGATAGTCAGAGGGAAGCTTGATCAGTTGCGGAGATGTTTTGAGGTCTTGCTTTAGTTTCACTTGTTTGGATACCCAACTTATGGAACTGGTAATTGTCTAATTCTGGTGAACTTGTAGGTGCAATTTGCGGCAGGGAGGGATCCAAGGCCAGGGCAATTGGGAAGTATGATACAGACAATAGCTAACTGGTAATGTCTTTGTTTGGTGGAGTTGAATGTTTCGTTCATTTCTTAATTATCGTAGTGGTGCTCTATCAATTCAAATAACTCAAATTCATTTCTTGTTCGAGTGACTTAGTATGCAGGACTTACTAACTTAATGTGTTCCTGTGTATTGTCTTAGTATGTAGGAAATACTTGGTTAATCTTTCTATCTAGCATACTTTTGGTCGGTCTTATCTATAACAATGAAACTATTTGTTTTAGATTTAGCCCTGTTTGACAACCATTGTTTCGAAACTCTTTAATTCTCATATTAATTTTCAACAACGCATTTACACAACAAAATATTTTGCACGTAAACCCAAAACGTTACCTTACTTTTTAATCACACATTCGCCAAACAAATCTATATTCAAAAATCCATTTTTTCAAAATAATGGCCATAAAAAATGAGCTTAATAGCTTCTTTGGAGACTGAAAGATGATTCAAAACAGTCTGGGTGTTTATTGTTCTTTGTGGCATTGTCGAAAATTTGACTCATTTTTTAAATTCACACACAATGAACTTGAGGCATTATTCTGGTGGTCAACATTCCTGAGGTTGGAGGTTTTAGAAGGGGACTTTATAAAGCTTGTCATGCCTTTTTTTGCCCCGTGTATCTAAATCCTTTAATAAATTCTTGGTTTGATAACTTAGGTTGTCTACGTCAGACAATCTACTCGTCTCAATTCAAGAGAAGATCAAGTGGGCAGATAATATGAGTGAAATGGACAAGAAGCACAGAAAGGAAGTAGAAGAAAGGGTGGAAGAAGTGAAGAAGACACTATCCTTCAAGGTCGGCTTATCTTCTTGACACTGCCTTCCTTTTTTTTTTTTTTTTTTTTTTTTTTTTGTGGGTGTCATTGTGACTCCAACTTTCAGTGTATGCTATGTATTGTAAGCAATTTATTTGAAGGTTACTTAAAAACTCACTGCACATTTCGCATTCAAGTGTGTACTGATCGAACATGTTTTATTGTATGGAAGTGTGGTGGAGTCTCCCTGTGTGTCATATGTGCGCTTATGTGTCACATTGGGATTCTATTACTGGAAATTCTTTGTGAGGCTGTAGGAAGTTCTAGAAGCTTGCATGTTACGGGCCTATCGTGATTTGTGAATTTAAATTTAAAATTTTTTAATTAATGTGAATACTTCCTCTCACTGCTTTCATAAATTAACCCTTTTTTATGTCCGTTCTTTGTCCATTCTCAGTTTAACACTCCATAATTTTGTAAGTGTGGTCTAATTGACTACGTTGACAGATGCCTTCTGAATCAAATGAACGAGGATTAGATGATGACTAATCTCTGTGTCTTAATTTTATTCTTTGTTATGTTTCATAGTTGCAGTTTTAAATGATGATGCAAAATTAGTTTATATTCATGCTTGGGATTGTTAGTCGATGTGTCTTACTTACATTATGGCAGAAGCTCCAAACTGTAAGCAGGCCGACACCGAGTTCCGAGGGCACGAGGAGATCTTCTCTGAACATAGCGGAGTGATGGACTACGAGGAAGATAGAAGTCGGCCAAAGAGGTAACATATAAGACTTCCACTTCTTCAGGATTCTTCTTCAAATTTCTCGGATTTCTAAGAATATGTTATTAGCATGGCATCTTGTTTCTTTTGACATTTTTGCCGCTCGGAATAAGTGGGGCATATATTGTGTTGTGCACGGGTATATTCGTACTTCCTCTTTAAAATCTTTACTAACACGAACATGTCCTCTCCTGAGACACAGCCACACTTGTTATCCTGTCTTTCTTTGACATGATGATCAAGACAACTATAATATTTAAGAGAGCCTATTATTTTATTATTATTATTATTATTATTATTATTTTTTTTTTTGGGCAGTATTCATGATACAATTACCAATTTACCAACAGTAAAGCTCTGCCCCATCTATTTGATTTGTTGCTTCATTGTTTGACTTGTAAATGTGCAGGAGACGACACCCCCTAGGTTGAGGATATAGATTAAAAAGAGATCATAGGATGCATCAGTCAGACAACTGGCCCTTTTTTTTTTTTTTTTGGGCAGTATTCATGATACAATTACCAATTTACCAACAGTAAAGCTCTGCCCCATCTATTTGATTTGTTGCTTCATTGTTTGACTTGTAAATGTGCAGGAGACGACACCCCCTAGGTTGAGGATATAGATTAAAAAGAGATCATAGGATGCATCAGTCAGACAACTGGCCCTTTTTTTTTTTTTTTTGGTTCATTTCATTGCAACAAAAACCAATCCCTGCTTTACATGGCAGTGAATCCTCGTGGATCGAATTTGTCGGACTTGAAAATTGACAGCCTTAGCTTGTATCCCTTCCCGACATTTTCTTTGATTTGGTGGGGAAATCAGGTTTGGTTTTGTAATGCTGATGAAGTTATTGTTGATGCATGCATTTAGGTAGGTTGCTTACTTTATCTCTAGTTATTGTTGATTGGTAAATTGACGGCCATTGTGCATCTTTTTAGTCCCCTCACTCTTACAAGGACATCTACCCAGCAGCTTCTTATAAGCCCCCGTTTGGCCCTCATTACATTAAATTTCATTACATTTTATATTTCTCTCTTATTTTTAATTACACAATCTTTCATAAAATAATATTATACGTAAATCGAAAATTTTTCAATCACTCATTTAAAAAAAAAAATGTTATTTCACCCATTTTCATTTCAAAAAATGGAGGGCAAACGGGGCTTCAACTACTGAAATCTTTTGCCTGTTTGAGTTGAAGTGATTTGACTGAAAATTTACTGTGTCTGGATCAAGTTACAGTCCCAAGACTACCCATGTTAAGTCTTCCATTTGTAAGAAAGTCCTTGTTTGAGCCTATTTTTGTCAAGAAAATACATTTTTGAATAGTGTAATGATGTGAAATGCGTGGTTAATAAATAAGGAAAAGATTTAAATTTGCGTGTAATATTATTTTATTGAAGAATGTGAAATTGAAATAATATCAAAATATTGTATAAATTTTTTTTTTCTTTTCAAAGAATGGGACTCAAACAAGGGCAAAATATCGACTTTTGAGGTGCATTTTTCCTAAGGTTTGCAGAATTACAGGCTCGTTTTTTTTTAAACCTTCCGTGTGATTTATACGAAAATGACACTTGAGCCTATCTCAAACTTAAAAGCACGCTATTTGTTGGTTACTGTACTTATATTTCTAGTTATACTTCGAACAAAATTTCAACGATGTGCTTTAGAAGTGAACTGAATCTAGAATGGGATCTCCAATGGTTAAAACTTCAGCTTGAATTAATTACGGACATTTTATTGATGGAAGTGTTAACAAGTACGACGAATTTGTAATCCCATATAATCTGCAACTCGTTCCGGCTTTGATTTCTTAGACCAACTGAACAAAAAGGAAAAAAATGATAAACAAAATGTGGGGAAATTGAAGTAATGATCACTGAAAGGCATTTAATCTTTGCTCCTTGATCGTCCAAAAAGAGCCATTAGAGACAGGTTTTACCCAAGGCGTATCTTGCTCGTTGATCGTCCCTCTTGCCATTGGCTAAATGCAAAGTTCTAAATTTAATTTGTCAGAATTATGTTCAAGCAAAAATGATCCAAGCAACTGTAATTTCTAACATATTATCTTCATAATAGAAAACGAAATAATATAAAAAAAAAATGACATTTTTATAAATGTCCAATTACAACAATAAATTTGGAATGCTAGGACAGCTGCTAATCAGTAAATTTTCCAATTACAAAAATAAATTTTGAATTCTAGGACAGCTACAAATCAGTTTAATACAAAGGTTATTTACGTACCCAAAAAATAAATAAAATAAATAAATATATAAAATCTAAGCTACATTCTTGGAATTGCATTGCGATGAATGCTTGAGGCATCCAATTCCATGGCAGTATTTCAAGGCATAACTATATAGCACAATTTACCTCCACAGTAAGGATAATTCATTCGGATCAATATGAGATTTCAACTGCATTACATTGTCAGCATTTATGCACATATTTGAAAGGAATTGATCTCCTTGCTTCTCTTGTATAAATGTTGATCCACTAATGGGTGGATCAAGTGAGATCTAGAATTTCTGAGCTGCAACTCCTTGTCCCATAAAGGGTGGATCAAGTGCATGACAGCTTGCTCATCATTTAAATTACTATAGTAGATAACTAAGATCAATAGGTAACATTAAAAATGAAAATGATAAATTTTCTACTTCTGTTTATCAAGATCGGGATTCCGTTTTAAAATGTCAATCTTATTAAAAGAGTAGTCCAAACTCTAATATGTTGATCTATGTTTCGATATTTTACCAATGTGAAATTTTATTGAGTATATCAATTTGAATTTTTGTGCTTAATTTTTAACTAGATCATATCGAATCGTTCGTTAGATCTTAATGAACCTTGATACTATATTAAGATTTGATTCATCCTTATTAAGAATCTATCTCAAAATGTAAATTTCATCAAATAACTATTTGACGTTGTCAATTTCACCCTCCCTCTATTTTAAAATGTAAATTTCATGCTTCAACTATTTTACATTGTTAGTTTCATCCTCGAACTTTTCAATATAATGTAAAATTCATCCTTCAACTATTCTACTTCGTCAATTTCATCCTCCACCTATTTAAAAATGTAAACTTGATCCTCCAGCTTCTCAATAACAAATATTTCATCCTTCCAATCATTTTACATCATCAATTTCGTACTTCCAAGTATTCAAAAACATCAAATTCGTCATTCCACTATTTGAAGGCGTAAACATTGGCCTTGTTTGCACAAAGCAGCTCCCCTTAAACTTTGTCCATGATTTGACTAAATCGACAATTTTCATTTTTTCCTTCAACTTCATTTTCTATCACATTTTATTGTATCCACCATTTTTATCAACTTTTCAACCACGTAATTCATTAACTTTTATCAAAATCTACATAAAATCTAATTTTTAGTTAAAACCAGACAGCATCAATCTCTAACGTAGATTTCCGTAGATCGTTCAATGACCCAACCACTACATGCTTGAGCACCAAAAAGTAATTCACTTTCATCACATATCCATTATAGCTTATACCATATATTCACATATAGAATTTTACATAAATGAGAATTTCGGTGTCAGGGTACGTACCAAAACTCCACCACCTCAGGAGAACGTAACTATTTGGCAATATGACCACCTAAAACTTTTACACCACCCTTTATTTATTGATCTGTACAGATATACGTGATCTACGTTAAGTGAATTTTAACATGATAGAGGCAGACGCAGGGGCGACCAGAGCTGTCTTGGTCGATTGTTAGTCAAATTGGCGGGGGAGCAAAATCTACCAGGTTGATGATTTCATCGTCATCAACGAGCCCATCGCCATTTCTATCGGCTTTCCCGATGGCGTATTCACTCTTCATACCCTTAAACCAGCTCTCTCTTTTGGCGTCGCGAAAGGCATCGTGGAGTTCCTTGCTGCTTATCTTCCCATCGTTGTTCTTGTCATACTTCATCAACCATTCTTTGAACTGTTTCAAATTCATCCCTCCATTTCCAGGAACTCTGACACCATGATTACTCACCATCTCTTTGTGCGTCCTACCTTGTCATGAGTCTTATGACTTGTGACCTCCCTCATATTTATAGTATTATCATCCTACCTTGTTTTGCCTTTTTTTTGGTGGTTGGGGGTGGGGGGGGGGGGGGGGGGGGGGGGGGGGTTCAATTTCATCTTCACTGGCATTTTCCACCCAAGTGAGCTCGTCAAAAAGACAAATTGTCCATCTTTTCTTTCATATCAAGAGAAATACGATCAGTAAGGGCTAATTCAAACCCCTCCAGTGAAATAAGAATAGCCCCTACACCTTCAAACCTCCTTCCTCTTGCTAGTAGTCTCATCAACAGTGATAGAATGGGGGAAGAATACAAAAATTGGGAGGGAGGGAGAGAGGGGGAGAGAGAAATTTTACTGGATTTCATTAAATTATTTGGCTACAACAAACTCCTTGCCTCTCAGAAACTAAACTCATTACACGAATGAAGCCCTGCCCTCACATAATATATAGACATCTGTACAATTACCAAATCTGTACTGATCTCGTAAAGGAAATGCTTCTTTGGCAATTCACAAGGCTCTAAACCCATAATAAGCCAATAACACCTCAGGATATGAGAGTAGACAAAAACTAGAAAAAAAAAATGGTTTATAAAAAAAGGGTCATTATTCATCTACTACTCACCACTGAAAATGTGCTCAACAAACACGAACATCAACAACGTCCATACTTCTCAACCGACTGTTCCTCAACACTTTCTGTCCTGCTTGGATACGAAGCCACAAGCATGAAAGCTGAGAAATAGTTGCCTGACTAGCAAACTGTACCCTGCAGGCAAGGTTCGCTACAGCCAGAATGTTCTCGCCTGTTTCACCAGAATTGGATATTTCCTCGTATCCTTCAAGGTCTGATTCATTTACTATCACAATAGAGCCATCGTCAAGGTCTTCTAGGTTCTCTTTTGCAGGGAAACCTAGTATTGTATTTGATGAACTATCCATGTTATTCTCAAGTTTCTTTGATCTGTGATAAAAATTTTGTACAGCCTGCATTTTGTAACAACAGACAAAATTGCAATTAGGATCAGGGCCATAATTAGTAAAGGAACACAGAGAGAACATCAAAAAGAATATCATGCAAAGAAATGAACACAAAATACTCTTATACCAAAAACACCACAATAAAGAGTAAAGGCTACTGCTTCGTCCTTGACGAACACATACCCCAGCCCTATCCAAGCACAAAGTTTTATGTGACAGTTTAAAGGTGTGTATTTGGCATTGTTCTAAAAAGCTCACCTAGTCACGAAGCTTAGCCTTGCCGCCTAGCCATGCTATACAATTCTTTATGCGTAGGGAAAAGGCTCATAAAAGCTTGAAGCTTGGCTTTGCCATCTAGCTATGCTTACACTTTTTAAATTGCTACTATTGGGCGCAACTTCCAAAATTAGCCACTACATCATGCTCTTTAAGTGAGAATACTTTTGGCAACTGACTAGCTACTTATAATAAAGGACTTTCATATGTGGCATTCTATAGAGGAAATAAGAATGCTCATTCATGGACAAAGGGTGTAGAGAATCGAAATTTTTCCAGGCGTCATACAAACAATTTAGAGAATAAAACAAGAAATGGTCCAAAAGCTCAATGTAGTCAGAACCAAACAAAACCATTCAAACGACCACAGTATATATTGAGGATTCAACCAAAAAAATTCTGCAGCATAATTTACTTACTGCAGCACTAACCACAGTTCATTAAGCTCAACATCTAAATTTAAAGAACCAAAAGGGCCAGGGAAAAAGAATGGAAAAAAAGGCCTCAAGCTTGTAACTGTAAGGCTGAAGCTAATATAAGTGATTGTATTAAACCTGCCACTGGGAAGAGGCCAACAGCACTCTTGGCCTAATGGACCTCACGTACTCATATGCAGCCTCAGGGATCATCTGATTGTACTTAACCTGCATTAATGGGGCAGTTTAAGTTGTAAGAATTCCTAAGTACATAGTTAGTTGTGAGGCTCTGTACAGTGATGCCTACCAGGTAACAGATGACAATTGTAGTGCTGCGACCTCGGCCAGCTTTACAGTGAACATATGTAGTTTTTCCGAGAAGTGCATTACCTTTAAAATTCAAATGAAAAGGACGTATATAAGTTAGATATTACAATTAAAATTGACAAAATAGAAAAAAAGACAAGAATTATCCTCGTATCATTGCCAGCTAAATATTAGTTTCCCATGTTATTTCCAATTTAGAACATCAAAAAGTGATCCTGCACCCTCTTCGTACAGGACTATTAAATTCAATCACCCATAAAAAGCAACGAGGAAGGGGGGAGGGGGGTAATAGACAGGATGGGAGATTCATTTATGTGAAGATAAGGAACTCGGAACAGGAGTTAGAAGAAGTTGATCTTCTGAACCCATTTCAAGCCATGATGACTAATAAACCAATCTTGGGTAAACAATCTTGACTGCTTTCTTTATAATTATTTTCATTTCATTCTTGTACATAGGAAATGAGACTCGATCCCTTTAACTGTAAATTCAAAAGTAGTTTTATATCATTCATACAACTATCTGGTCAGTGAGAATGGCTGAGGATCCGTTATCTTTCCCAGTGCAGAGTATTGCTACTTGTTTTCTCTATGAAGTCCCTAATGTCAGTAAATGTCAAGACTGAGAGTTAGGAGGTATCTTTGTTTCCATAAACTTTATGAATGATTGATGATAACATCTTCAGGTACAAACTATTGTGAAGTGAATTCACATGCCAGTGCATCAGACATAAATGAAATTTGAAGCTGTAAACTCATGGACTCTCTCTGACTTGATTGAATTAAGAAAAGGAGCGACAACAGTACAATGATAAATATGAACTATTCACACCAGAGTGATACTGTAAATTGGGATTTGCAGTAGGTAATTAATGGAATGAAACTTACCGTGGATGAATTCTACAGCTCGGTAAATGTTTCTATATGATGGAGCAAAGAGATAATCTCTTGTAGGAATCACCAAGTGTTCAATATCGTGATCCTGCAAATAGAAAGCACGCATTTAGGGGGGAAAAAGGATCACATAGTCATCTACATGAAAGAGGCGGGTCTCAATGAGAAAATAAACCTAATTGTGCACACATTTACATAAAACCAACTTTAGAAGAGTTAACCACGCCTATCACCGACATAGATATAGCATTGTACAAGTTAGGACATAAGAACAAGTGAAAAACAAAAACAGTGCACCCAATTTAGATATTTCAAAAACGATTCAATATTAGTATGAAGAAATTATAAAATACGTGATATAATGATGCTGGAACCAGAGTCTCATATGGTTCATTCAAGGTCACAACTCCACCTACACCAAGAGCCTTCAAGCGCAGAACATCAGTGGGGAATGGAACAGCTCCTAACAAAACAAACTGACAAAAGAAGCAAGTGAATAACTGCACGTAAAAATGTATACTATTGTCAGTATGCCTGACAAGATTACAGATATAACCCCATCCAGAGAGAATACAGATGCGAAAACCATGTACATCTATCGCACATGCAGCCAGTTCTCTCATTATTATTCAAAGTAAAGGAACAGCTAAAAAAAATAAATTTTGACATAACTAGCTCATGAAACAGTTAATTTTTCTTTTTCTAAACAAGCAACTGATGATGCACAACTTCTGGGAGAAATCATACCCATTTCCTAACTTGGAAACCCTAGAATTGGGCAACAACAGGAAGGTTTTTTTACTGCTAGGTCAATGCCTCAACTACCAAATTGAGATATGATGAGTGAGCACCTGTTAATACTTCACAGAAAACCTTCCAGGAACTCAGTTCAATTCACTCAAGGAAAATATTCATCCAAAGGAATGCATATGCATCTGATAACATAAAAAAACACAGATGCCTACTTGGTGGCTTGCAGTACTTTAAAAAAATAAATAAATAAATAAATAAAAAGCCTTTATTATCAACATAAAGATACAGGTTTAAGAGTTAAACGATAACCAAATACACAAATAAATGCAAGTAAGAAGAAACATAAAGCCCTCAAATGTTACTGTTCCGTAATTGTGCATACCTCGTCAACCCTATCCCACCAACGGAACTCGGATTGTATCTTGTTTCTCACAACATTATACAAAAGTGTGGGATAGAAAAGTGCACGAGCCCCAGCTCCCACAAAAACCCTTTTCGGATCCCAAGCAACAGGAGGGCCTTGACAGAGATCACCACACGATTGCTGCTTCCCCTCACTCTCAAAATCTTCCTTCAGTTCCTCAATGTACATCTCTCTCAACTTATCGACTCAATAACTCAAAATTGAATTATTACCAATAAAACTAAAAAGAACCCTCAGGCTAAACCTATCGGGACCCTTGAAACTAATGATACGGGAAACCAAACAAATCGATAGAAAGCAATAAAACCCTACTATAACATCAAGATTAGATTTTGAACGCCAATCGAAATATTAAAGAACCCTGTCAATTCCTAAGCCAAGAAAACAAAAAGAGGCAAGAAAACCCAGTAGCCTTTCACCAAATTCATAAATTATATGTCCCAAAAAAAAAAAAAAAATTCCAGACCAAGAATGCGCATATTCTTAATCATTTTTTCACAAAAAAATAATCCTACAAAAAAACAGATACAATAAGAGCATCCAAGAAAACCCAAAATTGAACGGAATGGAGTTAAACTCAATATGACCAAAAACCAAGAAAAGCAATCTGATTGAAGTGTCAAGAAAACTTTTCAATGGCTTATTGGATGTAGTTTTCTTGTAAAGATTGTCTGGGTGTAAGAGAGAGAGGAGTTTGGTTCTCACACTAGAAGAGTTGAGAGTATTTCTCTCTCAACCTTTCCTTTTCTTCGAACGAACTCTCCGGAACAACGAAACTCACGCTTTTCTGTTTTCATCAAATGTAGCGCGCATTTACATAAGATCCGTTTTTTATTTGGACACCCGCTTTCATTTCGATTTCGTTATTAGATCATCTTCAGAAAAATCTCTATTTTTAAACGTCGTATTTTATCATTTGGAGAACATTTTTAAATTTAAAGAGTTAAAATTTTAAAGTACTCAAACAAATTTTTTATATTTAATACTTTAATTTTACTATTTTCAAAAAATATTTACTCTTTTTGTCTATCTTTTATTTTTAACTAATTTCTTTTTTAGATTATTTTATTATCTTTTTACATTGAAAATTGAAACACTTTGGATATATTCAATTATAGATGGTGGATTTGATTCTCCATAAATTAAAATGTTAGAGCATCTTCAAAAGATTTTTTAAACGTGATATACATTTTTATTTTAAGGAGTCAATATTTAAAATCATGTTCCAAGAGACTCTTTAAATAAATATTTTAATTTAGAGAGTCAAACCCACTCTTTGTAATAAAATGTATTCAAAGTGTTCCAATTTTCAATGTAAGAAAATAATAAAATAATCTAAAAAAAAGCTAGTTAAAATAAAAGATATAGAAAAAAATAAATATTTTTTATGAGTAGTAAAATCAAGTGTTAAATATAAAATTTTTGCTGAAGTACATTAAAATTTTAACTTTCTAAATTTATAGATGCTATCCAAATGATAGAACTTCCTCTATAAAAATAGAGTCTCTTGGAAATACTTTAGACTCTTAAAATGTGAGATATTCTCCATTTTAAAGAGTCAATTTTTAAAATAATCTTCCAAGAAACTCTTTAAATTAATATTTTAAGGACATCTCCAATAGGCTTTCTATTTTTTAAAAGCATATTCTATCATTTAAAAGACATATATAAATTTATAGAGTTATTTTTAATGTATTCCAACAAGGTCTTTATATTTAATATTTAATTTTACTTTTTGCAAAAAATATTTATTATTTTTTTATCTTTTATTTTTAACTAGTTTTTTTTATATTATTGTGTTATTTTCCTACGTTAAATATTGAAACATTTTAAATGCATTTAATTATAAAGAATGAGTTTGACTCTCAACATAGATTTTGGAGAGCCAAACTCACACTATAAATTAAAACTTTAACTTATAAAGGTATTATTCTACTCAAATAGGGGTTTTTGACATTTCCCTCTGTGATAGAGGTTGAGGTAACACCACCTCAACCCTTTATGGGAAATTCTAATGTGACACCACCCTAGTCCTTGATGTGAAATTTGAATTTCAAATCAATGGATGAGGCCACCTCAACTCAGCATCTATTTGAGTAGCAAGGTTCTTTGAAAAATCTCTTAGAGCTTGATTTCAAGGATTTGCTCATTAAGCTCCTGTTTGACCCCCATTACCTGAATATGAAAATGGGGGGAATAATATTTTTAAAAAAAATGAGTGGTTAAAAAAGAAGGAAAAATTTTCGATTTATGTGTAATATTATTTTATGGAAAATTGTGTAGTTGAAAATAGGATAGAGAAAAATGGAATGTAATGTAATTGAATTTCATCGAGATCAAATGGTGGCTAAAATAGAGAACATAACATATTTAAAAAGTCAATTAGAGATACTCTAATTTAGAGAGTCTATAATTAAATGCATTCAAACTATTTCAATTTTCAATGTAGGAAAATAATATAATAATCCAAAGAAAAACTAGTTAAAGTAAAATATAGAGAAAAATAATAAATAATTTTTGGTAGTAGTAAAATTATGTGTTAAATATAGAGAGCTTGATGGAGTATTTCAAAATTTTACTCACTAAATGATAGAATATGTTCTTTAAAAATAAAGAATCTCTTGAAAATATCCTTAATTTAAAGAGCTTATTGAAAAATGATTTTAAGGGTTGACTACTTAAAATAAAGAGTAACTCATATTTAAAAAGTTTTTTGGAGATGCTCTTGAAGTACAAAATTAAGCATCGATAAGTGAAAGGAAGGAAACAAACTTAAACAAGAATTGGAGATTCTACCTACAAGTTTATACTTTGTTCGCAAAATTCAAAATTTTCTTGCGAACATGATACTTTCGATTCAAAAAGTATGTTGAATCGTGCATTTCGATTATTCTATCATCGATTATGGCCAATGATATGATCAAATATCATGAAGGTGCGGTGAAAAAGTGAATAAAATTATGGGTCTAAAATTGAAGTTTTATTTACTTTTATGCACTTATTTGATCTCCATTATTTTCAAAATATATTTTTTCACTCTTTTTTTTCAACCACGCATTTTTCAATAAAATAATATTACCGCAAACTCAAAACTTTTTCTTATTTTTTAACAACATATTTTTCATCAATCTACTATTCCAATATACATTCTTGATCAAAAAATGAAGTTCAGATAGGTCCTTAGTATACAAAAAGTTGTACCCATCTTGTATATTTCATTGGGTTAATTTCACAAACGGTCACTGAACTTACAGAAAAATTACAAAACGGTCATTGAAGTTTAAAACCTTCGGTAACGGTCACTTAAGTATTGAGATGCTTTCAAAAATGATCACTGAAGTTAAAAAAGTTTCTAAAACGGTCACTGAAATTGAAAAACACTTTTTTTAGTTTTTTTGGTTACATTTGCGGCAATTTTTCGACTATTTTCAATCATCGATATCATCGAATTTTGATACCGTTGGAAAGCTTACAACGTCCTCTTCAATTACCAATCTCTCCATAACACCAAGGAATTTGACTGTAAAATCACCGCAAAAGTCACCCCCAAAAATCTGAAAATCTGCCCAGATTTTCAGATTTTTGGGCGATTTTACGGTAATTTTCCAGCGACTTTTGACCACCAAGACCGTCGGATTTTGATACCGTTGGAAAGCCCACAATGTCTTCTTCAATTACCATCCAAAATCTCCTCCAAACTCTAAAGGATTCGGCTGGATTAAACCCGCAAAGTCGGCATCCCAAAAAGGGGAAAATCTGGGATGCCAACTTTGTGAGTTTATTCCGGCCGAATCCTTTGGAATTTTGGGGAGATTTTGGATGCTAATTAAAGAGGACATTGTGGGTTTTCCAACGGTATCAAAATTTGGCTATTTTGGTGGTCGGAAGTTGTCAAAAAATCGCCGCAAAAGTCCACCAAAAATTTGAAAATTTGGATAGATTTTTATCTTTTCGTGTAGCCGATTTTGTGGGTTTATTCCGACCGAATCCTATGAAGTTTGGGGGGGAGATTTTTTGTTGTAATTGAAGAGGACATCGTAGACTTTCCAACGGTATCAAAATTCGGTGGTAGGTCGAAAGTGGTCGAAAAATTGCTGCAAAAGTAGCTCAAAAATTTTTAAACTTTAGTGACTATTTTTGAAAGCGTCCCAATACTTAAGTGATCGTTACTGAAAGTTTTAAACTTCAATGACCGTTTTGTAATTTTTCTTTAAGTTCAGTGATCGTTCGTGAAGTTAACCCATATTTCATTTTATAGAAAGCCCCTCTTGGATAGAGATTTTTTCTTAATTTTATTTTTAATCATATTTTCTTCAAATAAAATAATTTTGTATGTGTTTCCAAAACATTTTCTACTTTTACATTTTTCAGAAAATCCACTTTTCAGAATTTATTATCAAAAAGTATACATGAAACTTGCCAAAAATTACTCTTATTACATAAATCAACCATGAATACCTTATTCCTCGTGAAAATAGAAGCTGACAGAACATCTTTTACACATCTACTTTAATACTGTGACTGTTTAAGCAATCGTAACACAATTAGCTACAATTTTATTTAGTTAAAAATCTATTTTTTTATTAGATTTTAATAAAAAAATAATGAAATTTATGCTTGAAAAGTTAATAAAAATGTGAATTCCCCGAAATTTGTGATATATATATATATATATATATATATATATATATATATATTTCTTTTTTTTTAAATGAGTTTTGAATCAAACAAAGAATTAATAAATTAGTTATTCTATGCTCCTGTTTGATAATAACCATTTTTTTAAAACTATTTTCTCTTATACTCATTTTCCAACTTTACATTCTCATACTAAAATATTTTTTATATAAGTCCAATTTTTTTTTTCTTTTTTAATCACGCATTCTTCAAAAATTTACTATTTAAAAACTAACTTTTTAAAAAAAAAAAAGTGACCGTCAAATGGGCACGATAATTATCAATCCTTGAGTGGTACATTTTGGGTGGAGGAAGTGAGCTTTAGCTACTTTTTTATTTTTTGTTTTTATTTTTTTTAATCAAAAACTAAAAATTAATTTAAAGCTAACTCTTAGCCTTTGTTGATCCCCTTTTTAAAAATTCGTTCTTCCCTTGAACTTATTTTCAATAATATATTTGATGAGATTTTTAACTTTATTAAATTTTCAACTACATATTTCATTAATTTTTACTAAAATTTATTAGAAGTATAACATTTATCTAAGCCATGCAAGGATTTAGGAGTGTATTCAATGTAGGGGTGTCAACTCGGCAAGTCGACTCATGAGCTGAAACTCGAGAGTCAGGCTCAGTTAGACTAAAATCAAGTTTGGCCTTTTTCTATCTAAGCCAAGCAAAAGCTCGACCAAAAAGTCGATGTTCAACCCGAGCTTTCAGCTCAGACCTTACTGCGCCAGGTTGAGTTTTTTTTTTTTTTTTTTTTTTTTTTTTTATTTTTTTTTTTTTTTGGGGGGGGGGGGATGGGGATG